TTTATTTATTTATTTGAAAGGCAGAGTTAGAGGGAGAGGGAGAGACAAAGAGAGACGTTCCATCCACTGGTTCACTCCCCAGTGGCAGCTGGGCCAGGTCGAAGCCAGGAGCCTGGGTCTTCGCTCAGGTCTCCCATGTGGATGGCAGGGGTCCAAGTACTTGGGCCATTTTCTGTTGCTTTCTCAGGCACATTAGCAGTAAGTTGGATGGGAAGTAGAGCAGCCAGGTCTTGAATTGGCACCCACATGGGATGCTGGCAATGCAGGCGGCAGCTTAGCCCACTGTACTACAACACTGGCCTTAGTTATGAAATTTTACAAAACTTTTCTGCAAGTGAGAACTGTGAATTGGATAGCCAGTTTAATAAAACTATTTACTTAAAAAGCGAAATGTTAAACAAAATGGATGGTTCTGAAATTTGGCATTACATCTAAAGAGAATAATGTGTTTCTGTAAAGATTTTTCTCTAAGGAATCTAAGCATATTTTCCATAAATGATTTTCATAAATGACTGACTAGTTCAATCAGCACTGGAACAGTTTTAAGCAAAGGAAAATTTCCCTCTTATCTGTTTGATTTACCCCCACCTCCCCGCCCAACATACACATAACAAATGCTTGTGTTCTCAAATGGGAAATAATTTCTGGGGTTTACCACCCTCTTTCGAATTAAGAGGACAGGGATAGAAGAACTCAAGAGTTGGGAAGTTAAACTGATTGAGAACTTGATGAGAGAAGGAAGTAAGGGGCAAAGAGGGGGACCTCCTCTTCAAAGAGCACATATCTATAGTCAACACAACCTTCTCACTATCTTTCCACCATCCACCATTTTAGGACAGTTTGTTGCTGGTAGCTTTGAAGCCAATCTTGATACTCATTTTTATAGGACAGGTACAGAGCCACCCCAAATATCCTAGTCTGGGGACCAGCGATGTGGCTCAGTGAGTAAAGCCACCACATGCAAGGCTGGTTCGAGTCCTAGCTCCTCCACTTCTGATCTTACTCCTTGCTAATGGCCTGGGAAAGCAGCAGAAAATGGCCCAAGGGCTGGGATCCTGGCACCCATGTGGGAGATCTGGATGAAGTGCCTGGCTCCTGGCTTTGACATGGCTCAGCCCTGGCCATTGTGGCCACTTGGGGAGTGAACTGGGGGATGGAAGGCCTCTCTCTCTCCCTGTCTCTCCCCCTCTCTCCGTAACTGTGACTTTCAAATAAATAAATAAAAATAAATACATAGGGCCAGCGCCACGGCTCACTAGGCTAATCCTCCACCTTGTGGCGCCAGCACACTGGGTTCTAGTCCCGGTCGGGGCGCCGGATTCTGTCCCGGTTGCCCCTCTTCCAGGCCAGCTCTCTGCTGTGGCCAGGGAGTGCAGTGAAGGATGGCCCAAGTGCTTGGGCCCTGCACCCCATGGGAGACCAGGATAAGTACCTGGCTCCTGCCATCGGATCAGTGCGGTGTGCCGGCCGCGGCGGCCATTAGAGGGTGAACCAACGGCAAAGGAAGACCTTTCTCTCTGTCTGTCTCTCTCACTGTCCACTCTGCCTGTCAAAAAAAAAAAAAATGGTAAATACATAAATAAATATTTAAAAAAAATCCTACTCTAACACTATGTGCAACAAGTTGATCTAATATGGCATTCATTCATAAAGAAGAAATTGACTTTCTGAGTGACTTACCCTCAGAAGGCTCCATTCTTGTATTTCTATAGAGATAATAGATGAAACGTATTTGTATATATTTTTGGAACCAAAAATTTGAACACATGATGTATTTAACAGGGTAGAATGTCAAAATGATTTTTTTTTTTTTTTTGACAGGCAGAGTGGACAGTGAGAGAGAGAGAGACAGAGAGAAAGGTCTTCCTTTTGCCGTTGGTTCACCCTCCAATGGCCGCCGCGGCCAGTGCACTGCGGCCGGCGCACCGCGCTGATCCGAAGGCAGGAGCCAGGTGCTTCTTTGGGTCTCCCATGGGGTGCAGGGCCCAAGCACTTGGGCCATCCTCCACTGCACTCCCTGGCCACAGCAGAGAGCTGGCCTGGAAGGGGGGCAACCGGGACAGAATCCGGCACCGCAAGGTGGAGGATTAGCCTAGTGAGCTGCGGCACCAGCCAAAACGATTTTCTTTTTAAACTCTAAAAAGGCAGGACGCTTTGTCAGCTGTACATGCTCTAAGATTTTTTGAACCTCTCTGAGGTATTGTCGCTTCATTGCCAATTTAAAACCTGAAGGTTTGACATACCTAATGCTCATGTGATGCCCCTCACTGGGTCCGAACGAGGCTCTTTACCCAAATCTTCCTCCTCTTCTCCACCATCACTTACTCAACTTGGCTTCAGGCTCACATTCTCTCTTGCCAGGGCCATATTAGTCTATGTGTTTCTTTCTTCAATTTCCTTTCTCTCAATCCATTCTACTACCAACAGAATTATTTGTTTTGCAACTTCCTTGCTTACATCTGACCTCTGATTTCCAAGGCAGGTCCAAACTCCTAGTACAAACGAAAGCTCTCTCTCCTTCCAGTTAACATCCCAGTCCCCCTAATAACATTCTTTAACCCCTGAAAAAGATGCACACTCAGGTTTACAGGGATTTGTGGATGCTGCAACTCAGCATAGAGGACCTTCGCTTATCTCTTAACTAGTTCCTACTCCTACTTCAACAGTCATGAAGGTTATCTCAAAAGGGTTTATTACCTTCGATTCAACAAGACTTGACTAGCTACCCTAGTCATGCACCCCCACAGTACCCTGGGGTTTCACTCATGACACATTTATACTGTGTTCTGTAATTCTCTCCCAATCTACTGTGAGCAACTGGTGAGTAGGCTGTTTCTTTTATTTTCTAGCAGTGGTTGCCACACACTGGATGTTAAAAATCTTTTGATGCCCCTTGTAAAATGAACTTAGCTGTCACAATGGAAACTGCATTTTAGTTGCAGTTTCTCTCATGCCCCCAGTCTAATCACTCCCCTACCTAAAACGTACTACCTAGCTATCAGTCTAAACTTCACAATGCCTCGTTCATGGTGTTTCCTTATTCAGAAACTCTAGTATCTCTGTTGTCTTTGACAGCAGGTCCACACGCCTGGATTCACCTTTCAAAAGTTGTACTATTTGTTGGGTAGCTACGTGGTCTGCTTATTTCCAGTCCATTTATCTCTGCTCACTTCAAATACTGTCTTCATCTTTCTTACTGAATTCCATCCATCCTTTCAAAATCCTCCTCAATAATCATTCCCACAGCCAAGTCTTCCTTGGCTTCACACACACACACACGCACACACACACACACGTATATATAGTTAACCATTTATTGGTGCATTTCAAACACATTTGACTGTATGTCTTACCATTTATTGGGGCACTTACATGGCATCTTGGTTGTATGTAACCATTTTCTGGGTAGGCCTTATCTCCTTGATAAGATAGCTCATCTTATCAAGGGCTGGAATCACATCATACTCTCTGGTGTCTCCTCACTACAGCAATAATAATTCAATTTTGAAAAAGTACCAAAGTATATTTTTATATATCACACCAATGAATTGAAAACCATCCAAATACTACAATTTGGCTTTTAATCTAAAAAACATTCTAGAATAAAGGGGATGAATTACCAGCTTATGTCAGTCCCTTGCAGAGAAGAACATAAACTAGGAAGACGGATTAGACAGGTGTGGGTAAATGGAGATCGTTTTACTTGTGGTAAGTTACTATTAAATTCTCCCTAGATCACGACAGTTAGATATCATCTTGAGTATTATATAGCAGGTTCTGTAGAAAACTACAATGCTCCCCAAAACATTTTAATACATTGTAAGATTAGGCACATGATGAGTCAAAAGGAAAAAATACTCCAAATCTATTATTCCTAAAATAAATATTATTTAAGGTGACAACAGAGCCTAAGGAAATAGGCCATATCTCTCCTCCAAAGTTTTCTCAGCATCTAGCTACTAGTGGCCCAGCACTCTATTAAATACGAATTTTTCCATTGTTTGTCACAGAATCTCACTCCAAGACACTTGTCTAACATGCTGAATTAATCTGAAGACAAAAAATGTATTCCCCTCACAAACCGATGTTCCACTTTAGATCTATTTAATCAAAAAGATTATTTGATGACGAGAAGCAAACAGAAATAGTTATTTTTGTACTTGGCACCTTTTTAGCACCCTTAAATGGCTTCACGGGGGCAGGCATTTGGCACAGCAGTTAAGCCCCGACTAGGGACATCTGCAGGCCATATGGAAGCCTGGGTCCAAGTGCCAGCTTTCCCTCCACTCAGCTTCCTGAATTTGCACCCTGGGAGGCAGCAGGTGGATGACTCAATTACCTGGATCCTTGCCACCCATGTGGGTGACCACAATTGAGTTCTTGGCTCCTCCCCTTGGCCCTGCCCAGCCCTTGCTGTTGAGGGCATTTGGGGAGTGAACCAGTAGATGGGAAACCTCTCTGTGTCTGTCTTTCAAATAAAATAAGTAACTCATCAAAAAATATAATGCTTCAAGTATGTTTCTGGCTGTCTAGTTAACTATTAAACCATTTTTATTTTTTAGTTTCCTTTGCCACAAGTAAAGAATGAAAACTGTAGTTCAAGCAAAATGGAAAATGTGTTAGAATCTCATCACTTACCACTTCTAGGAATTCAGGCAAAGTATTTAATTTTCCTGACTATCAGTTTCCGTAGTTTTAAAAGGGGGATATCAATTCATATTTTGTATTGTTTATTATATTACATTTGTGTACATGTTTTGTGTTTCTCACAACAATGTGAGGATTATCAACAATGCATGTAAAATAACCAACGCAAGGCCTGGTATATAGCAGGGTCAGAAGTAGCCAGCATTATTCTAATTTAGTTGATTTTTTTTATGTATTATACTGAGTTATGAAAGTCATTGGATAGAACATTTATCATTGTAGAGCAAAATATTTAAAATATTCTACTAGCACTCAATTTCTGGTTATCTCATAAAGTAAAAAAATACAATTAATTGTTGTCATTAATATGATCTTTAATAAATGGAATAATGCACCATTTTACAGCAAGCCTTTTTTAAACCTAAAGAACTGTCTTAAAATCTCCTCCAATGTCTCTGTATCAATACAATCTTTTTATTTAGGTTTATATATATCAAAGCATTTACTTACACTTATTCATAGAAAACTCTTTAGTGGCTTAATGTCAGCTTTCATAGTGGCATCCATAGATAATACAAAAGAAAAGTGATTTATTTCATACTCACTGATCCATCAAACACAACTTATACAGCATAGCAAGGTCTCAGATGGATTATACAAAAGCAAAATAACTGAAAGTAATTTTTCATAAATTCATATATGATATCTATCTGAAATGTAAGAGCAAAACACACCAACAAAAGATACCCGTTAACAAGAAAGAGGGTTCTGAGGAAGTGCCAATATTTTTCAGCCTTTCTTTCTTCAGAAAAGCATCCTCAGAAATGAATACTCTGTAGCTTGTTTCTCCTGTCCATTCAGAAAAAGCAAAGCAGCTACATAATTCCATGTTTCAGCTACTACAACACCCTAAAGGTTAGTGTATTTTACAATTATCCATGTATCTTCATTTGAAAAATTATCAACAGAAAGCTACGGATGATTCCAGCTTATACAAACACGTATACAATATACTCTCTATAGAAACAAAACAACAAAGGCATACAAAAAATTATTTAAATAAATAAATGTGACCAGAAAAAGAAGTCACAAAACTCAAGCACTTCAATGTTAAACTGGGACCTATCTTTGACTTGCATCTCTTAGTAATTTAGTTTTTTACTGATAAACTTCTTTAAAAATGTTTCTTTTATATAATTAAGAGGATTGGTGGAGAGCCGGAGACAGACTGGTTACAAATAATATCTTCACTGCTAGGATGTTAAGTATACTGCATACCAGTTTAGAAAAACTGTTTGGCTTACCTTACCATAAATGACCTTCTCAAAACCACCTAAGCCATTTCTGAAGCTATAAACTTACTAATGCACTTTAAGAAAAAAGTTTTATAAATGACCTCTTGAAAAAATTTTATCTCAGAGGAACTAGTTTAAGTTCTCTTACTAAAAAACAAAATGAAATGATTTGTCCAATCATGTATAGTCATTTAACCAAAATGGTTTTAAGTCAGTGCTTTAAGGCCTAAATCTGCTGCAACATGTAACTGATTAGTTGAGTCATTCCTTCGATTTAGTAAGCACAGAACTGGGCAAGTTTTTATGATTAACGAAATCTGAGATTATGTCTGTGTCAATTAAGTAAATAGTAAGATGAAGCACTAAATGAACTGTGCGACCAACACTTTAAATATTCAACTGGATCGAACTGCTTGTTTGTTATCAACTGAACTCTCACTGCACAGAGATGAAAGGGGCCCTGAGGTTTTAAGTAATATATGTCTATGGATTTAATGTAAAACATTAAGATGTTTCTGAAATCCAAAAGTATAAATAAAATGGAAAAAAATCCTATGATGCCTTTCAAAACTGGGAGAAAAAATCAATTTGCAGTTTTCAACTCAGTAGTTTGCTTTGAAATATCATAAACTGGATGCACTACTGACGTGATTTAGTTCTAAGATTTTAATTTGGGTTTCAAATTACATTTTAAAAATGAATGTGTAGGCTGGCACTGCGGCTCACTTGGCTAATCCTCCACCTGAGGCGCCGGCACCCAGGGTTCTAGACCCGGTTGGGGTGCCGGTTCTGTCCCAGTTGCTCCTCTTCCAGTCCAGCTCTCTGCTGTGGCCCTGGAGGGCAATGGAGGGTGGCCCAAGTGTTTGGGCTCTGCACCCACCTGGGAGACTATGAGGGGGCACCTGGCTCCTGGCTTTGGATTGGCGCAGCACACTGGCCGTGGCAGCCATTTGGGGGGTGAACCAATGGAAAAGGAGGACCTTTCTCTCTGTCTCTCTCTCTCTCTCACTCACTGTCTAACGCTGCCTGTCAAAAAAACAAAACAAAACAAAAAGAATGTGTAAATGTTCACAATGTTTAACAGTAACACTACAAACGTCATAGTAATAACAGAATTGGAATTTTTTAAATATGATAGATTTATTTGGGGCATAATTTTAATATACAGCATAAATCTTCCGACATATTTACTTTCAAATGCATCTGCCATGAGATAAACTTCTAATTTTTCTTTATGCACACACTTAAAACAGTCACTGAAAACTTAAATTGAAGTTGTTGTAGTCCAGGCTATGTTGCAAACATTAAGTATTTCAAAAGTGGTCTACAAAAAAATGTTCATATAGTATTTACTATACAGTTTGCTCTTGATAGTTAATCTTGCATTTAGTGTTAATATTTGATACAAAGAAATATGTAAAACATGGTGGCTCCATCATAACACTAAGCTGCTGCAATATAGGTTAAAAATGTCTAATGGTAAATGACGTACAATTCTGTGTGCATGGCTTTTTAGCGATAACTAATGAAATCAGAAAATTCCACAATTTAATAGAAAATGTTAGGTATACAAAAATTAAGTGCTGCTTGCTGGTAGTTTGATAGTTGAATCCAAGGTCAAATGATAACATTTTAACTCTCAATTCTATCAAACTATTGAACTATTACTTAACTGGAAAAATGAATATGTATATAACATAAAATATAATTTTATGTGTTCTTAAATATAAATAAAGTCATTAAAATAGGACTGGGGAGAAAAAAAAATGGAAAGGATTAAAGTGATTTTCTCTGCAGAACTGAGGCTTAGATGTTAACTGAGAAGCCTGAAGGACCCTGAAGAATGACAGGGACAATGACCAACTGTTATTTTTCCCTACTGGATAAGATAAATAGACTTAAAATGAAACAGGGAGGAGGAAGAATAAATATGAAAATTTTCCTGATATAGAAGATTGCAAGTCACATAAATGAGGAAAGCACAGGTTAAGACATAAACCATGAGGTGATTTAAGAAAAGTAATGGGTAGGTGCATTAGAGTACCCTGTAATTTCTTTTCTTTTTTAATCTTGAAACTTGTAAAAAAAAAACTTCTTTTGATAATAACTTTTGTGTAACTAGCTCAAACAATCATTTGCCAGATTTACTTAATCAATAACGAAAGGTAGTTTTGAGTAAAATTTGCATAGTTAAAATGTAACTTTGTTGAAGAGTAAACTGACAGTAAACTGTATGAATAGTTAGAAATATCCCATTCTGAAAGAGACACCTAGAGTGTAGTGGAAATGTTGCACAATCTCTAGAATGACTGGTCTAGATTATCAACTAACATGTGTGTACAGATTCTAACTTTAAGGAGTAAGCTGGTAAGGAACACTATTATATAAAGCAATTTGTGAATAGTTACATAATAACTTGCAAATAACTGCTAGTAAGTTCAACATAAATTTATAAAATGTTGATAGAAATAAAATGTAATATCAAATTCTAAGAGTTAATGGCCTACAATGAAATATTCATGTCCATAAGTATAAAACATGGAAACAAAAAGTTTATTGAAGTATTCAATGACTTTCAAGGGAGAGAGATTTACCACAGCCTATTAGTATTGCATTTGACCTTAGGGGCCAGATTAGAATGTATTTTTAAAACACTTGCCAAATTTCATGACAATTTCCACTGTAACATTTATTGTGTTTCTCCCTCTCTATTTTCACTTTCAGAACCAATGTACATTTTTTGGAACAAGTGGATACTTACATGGAAGCTATACTAAACTGCTTTATAAAATGGACATTATCCCTATATTCTTCTCACATCTTAATCAATTAGTTCTCTGGATTAGTAAATTTTCTAAAGTTACTAACAATAAGAATGTTGAAGACAGTTAAGGATTACGAGACTGAAATCAATATTAAATTAATTCCTCTAAATCTAGTATGGAATCAAATTAGGAAAAAGTTTCTATTGTTCCAAAAGCTACCTTCACTTCTCCCTTTACACTTACTTTACCTTCAGATTTGCAATATAAAAATGTTATTGGAGTAAAGTGAAATGAGTTTAAGGTTCAACATGGTAGATACAGGACTAAATTTCATCTTGATTTAGTAATTATCTCTCAAGTAACAATAAGCATAGATGTGTCTACACATCTTATGTTTGCCTAACTTCTAAAATCTTTAAGGTATCTGGGTTGGCTTACATATAAACCACATTGTGGTAATATAATGATTGAATTTCTTACAAAAATGTTAGTACACTACATATCCTATCAGGTAGCATGTAGGTAGTGCGATGTGGATAAAAAATGTGGAAAGGGGACATCTTAGGCTAAAATTCCAGGTTTGTCTATTACCAGATGCAGCCCTTAGGCAAGTGACTCAGCTTCTCTTAGGCATTTATAAAGTGGGAATATTAACTGTAACTCTCAGATGACTGATATGTAGATTAAAAGAAATAGTGTGTGTATACCCCAGCATTCAATATGTACCTTTCTATAGCGTTCTACACTAATAAAAGTGTTTTTTCCCCAATTATGCATTTAGAAAAAGTTTTTAAGAATAACAACAATTTTTGTCAAAACATAATTCAAATTATTTTCTTTCAATGATCTAACTCTGGTATACAATTAGGATTTTGTTAAGGGAACTAATATTAAACCTTGATTACCTATTTTAAGTTTGGTTATATTACTATCCAGGGAAATGAATTTTAGTATTTTTAATTGAATAGCCTTTTATTCAAAAACACCCAAATGCTCTTCTATATGTAGTTTTGTGATAGCAGTTAGATATCCACTTTAAGAAATACTTATTCATTTAAAGTGATTTTGCCTTATGTGTAATGTAATTTAAAATTTATTAAAATTATGTACTTTTTTTTACCTTCCCATTTCCTTGAGAGTCTACTTTTAAAAATTGGGGAAAGTAAAGTATTTGTTTTAAACATGTTTGCATGAAACAGGAAACTATACAGTTCTTATAAACTGGTATATTAATTTTTAAAGCATTATATTATGAAACAATTAAAAATGGTGGAAAACTTGCAATCAACTGGCTCAAATCAAAGTATAACAGAACCTAAGACAACACTTCTGGCAGAAAAAGATCAGTTAGAACCTCAATGCTTCAAATGAGAAGGAACAATTTATTTTTTTCAAAGCTGTCCTATAAATACTTGAAAAGAATATCCTGAAATTCACTTGAAAGACATTTAAAAGCAAGAGAACTAAGTGAAAATTTACTCTTTATCAATGTAAATAATTTGTCACAAGATAAATGAACAATAATTGTATGAAAAACATTATGTGGTTGGCTGGCGCCGTGGCTCACTAGGGTAATTCTACGCCTCAGCACCAGTACACCGGGTTCTAGTCCTGGTTGGGGCGCCAGTTCTGTCCCGGTTGCTCCTCTTCCAGTCCAGCTCTCTGCTGTGGCCCAGGAAGGCAGCGGAGGATGGCCCAAGTCCTTGAACCCTGCACCTGCATGGGAGACCAGGAGGAAGCACCTGGCTCCTGGCTTCGGATTGGCGTGGTGCACCAGCCATAGCGGCCATTTGGGGGATGAACCAACGGAAAAGGAAGACCTTTCTCTCTGTCTCTCTTTCTCACTGTCTAACTCTGCCTGTCAAAAAAACAAACAAACAAACAAACATTATGTGGCAAAAACATATTGAGGGTCTGAATCAAAGAAGGGTCAACAAACATAAAAGATGGAAATCCAGGACATTAGCACAATCTGAATTGTAATAACTGAGAACCGTGTTCAGCAATCCAGCTGCACAACTATAAGTGCTGTAGCAAACTAACTTCTAATATCATATAAGATGGCAAACAAGGAAGGCCTTTTGGACAACAAACTGGGAAATTTAGGCTAAGTGGTAAATTTAGTAAACTGATAAAGACAGAGGAAAACGAGTGAAAAAATACTAACCAGGAGATAAAAATCTAAATGAGCAATCTGGGAGTATGTGTTTTATTAGTACTCATTTTTTCTCCCACATAAATCTTTAATTAGAAAACATCCTGTAAGTACTCTGAGAATCTGAAAAAAATAAACCAAGTGAGATGACAGAAAATAATTTGTGCTTAGTGTTTAGGAAAAAAAAATAGTCCCTTATTTGACAGAAAGTGCTTTAGTTGAAAAAACAAAAAACATGCTGAGGTTGTTGTTCTAGAGAAGATGATTAGTAATGAATGAAGCAAACAAAGCTTTAAAAAAAAATGATTCCAAGGACATGTTACCACTAAAAAGTATACTCTAACATAATATAAATAATAAATGTTCTTCACATATCAAAGGTCATGTGAAAAACTGGCACAAAGGAGGAATTATGAAAACAAGATTAGCAAAGAAACACACAGTTTTGAAAAGAGAAGTTGAGTCTCAGTGTGCTCCATAAAGGTAGGTTTGGCAGCAATCCTCACTCTCACGGGGATTTGGCATGCCAGCTGAATGAGTTCTCCACAGTGTGTTAGGTCATGGCAAGAGGAATCATCTTCAGATAAAGTCACCAGGCTTTGCTTGGGAACATAATAAAAGATACTGCAGGTTCAATACTATGAACTATTTTTGAAATTATAATAAACAGGAAATATAATTTTATTTGAGTCAAAAATGGCCTATTCAGAGAATGAAAGCTGTAACACCATACTGTCTTAACCATCAACCTATTTAAAAATTCTGTAAGTCTAGCTTTGTAAGTTTTCTGATAAAAATGAATATGGAATATGAACATACAAATAAAAATAAAATAAAATGGGAAAAGGCTAATAGTTAAGTTCCTGTATTTTGTTCTATGCTCTCTTACAAACTTCTAAAACCAGAACCAAATGTTTAGTAAAATGCCTGGAAGAAAATGTTTAGAATTTAGAAGGTAAAAAGAAATGGCATTTTCAAATTAAATTTTTGTAGTTGCTTCTTTAGAGCCCTTTGAGATTATATTTCTGCATTCTCCATGTTAAGGAGAGAGAAAGCAAGAAATAAGCTTTCTCCTGTGCAAAATTCACTGTCACAGAATTGACCTACAAAAGTATGGAAGTTGGGGAAGAAAAGTACTCATATTATGAAAGAATGTGTGCCCCATTGGGAAGAGAGCTTACAAGAAAGCTTATTTGTGGCCTATAGACTATTGCACATTCAAACAAAACACAAGAGAAAAGAAAGTCCAACAGATAATATGTTCAGGAAAGTATATCAATATATAAACTAGCTTGTGCCCAGAAATAAAACATGGATACCAGACACCACTGCAGTCAAACCTGTCTTAATTTGCTTCTGTTTTAATGACCTTTAGACACTGGTCCAAACTGATTATCAGCAATACATTGTTTTTGCTTTTTTCTTAAAAAAATATTTTGAGACCACTTTTGATACACACACATATAATTCTGTGGTCATAACAGACAAATATAACTTTAGCAAGACTAAACAAAAGTGCAAAACTTAAAAAAAAACAAAATTAAAAAATATGGAAGCATAAGCTAAATTTTTCTGCATAGCTGAAATCTATTTAAAGCAAGTCCTGGTTGCAGGGTTGGGAGGGGTGCTGACGGGGAGGATAAAGCAGTTTTTTTTTTTTTTTTTTTAATATCTTCTGCATGTTTAAATGATGCAAAAAATAATTTTACTCCGTAGGCTTGAGAACATTTCACAGACAGTTCATTCCTATATCTTTAGACACCATGGTTGTGGCAGTGCCTCCTTCTGCAAGGTAAACAGCGGTGCTGGATTTGGAATGAACTGCCCTATCGTTGCCATAGCTGTTGACCTCACAGTCCAGTGGTTCAGTGGAGATGACCCAGGTGGAGGGGCGCCACCGCTTAAGAGAATAGGGAGTTTTCACACGTTTCTTGATCTTTTCACCTGATCCTGATTTGCCATCTTGTGTTGACTCACCTACTGAAAACAAAAGTACAGAAAAATGAACTAAACATAAAGAACTGGTGAGAAGTAAAGGGTTAGGATTGTAGCAAATCAGTGTCTGCAGAAGGTGTTGATGGACATTTCTCCAAAGTCATGAGGACAGGCAATGTGTTCTTGGCAAAGCTTAACCAATTTATTTTTGACACTTTTTAAGACAAATGGTCTCTTAAAACTGATTGAATTACTCCACAAGGCAAAGGAGGAAATAGAGGGAAAAAAATCCAAAAAGTAAGATCAGAGAAGAAAATTCAAAGTTTTCAGCAACATTCTCAAATACTTTGGTTTTGGTAGAAACTGTAACTCGGTAAAATGTACTTTATTCTACCTAGTACTAAAGTGGATCAAACTTGAAAGTTACCTGACAAACAATATTCTTTAGGAGGATATCAGAAATATTACAGTACAGATTTCCTAGTTATTCCCTCTTCTCATACATCAAAGGAGATCTTTCACTGAAACAAAGCCTGGCAATCGGGGTACATCCACTGCTCCACGAGACAAGCCACTCAAGCAATGGGACAGGGGCCCATCTTGTAGTCCCTGACAACCATGAAACCTAACTTCTTCTCCCATGAGTACTGTCAGTCTAAAACAGAAACTATTTTATATAATGATGACTGTTATAGATTTTGGTAGACGTAATTGTCTTGTGCTGTAATTTACTTAGGGCCAGAAACCAAGCATCAGTTTATTTGTTTATGTTGCTATGGGGCCCACAGCACAAGGCTACAGGTATGTGAGAAACCCAATGTGTTACTCTGGAGAAAGATGACACTAAGAAACCGAGACAACCTTGTAGTTTCTTTAAAGAGACTTTTCTGAAATTTCTCTGGATTTCTAAGATTTATTATAGTTTGATAAACTCTAAATGCAGATATAATAATATATGTTAATATTCACAACAAACTGTCTGAAAAGTTACACTGGCGTTAACACTATTCGGAATCTTGAATTGGTGAGTACTTAATCTCAACTATTCACACCAAGTGTGACAGTTGTATTATAAGGCAGCAGCCATATAATGCACAAATTAAAGTGCTAATTATCTGATTACCAAGATACGGAGTTAATTCTTCAATGACAAAATTCCTATTGCATTTTTTCTTCAAAATAGTCTAATTACTTTTGAGACCCAACCAAATGGTTTATTTTATTTTAAAAAATGCTAAAGGTAAATAATCACTAGTTGTAGGCTAATCCTCTGCCTCGCGGCGCTGGCACACTGGGTTCTAGTCCCGGTCAGGGCGCCGGATTCTGTCCCGGTTGCCCCTCTTCCCGGCCAGCTCTCTGCTGTGGCCAGGGAGTGCAGTGGAGGATGGCCCAAGTCCTTGGGCCCTGCACCCCATGGGAGACCAGGATAAGTACCTGGCTCCTGCCATCGGATCAGCGCGGTGCGCTGGCCGCAGCGTGCCGGCCACAGCGGCCATCGGAGGGTGAACCAACGGCAAAGGAAGACCTTTCTCTCTGTCTCTCTCTCTCACTGTCCACTCTGCCTGTCAAAAAAAAAATCACTAGTTGAAACACAATCTGATTCTAAGACACACAGGAACCCTCTACTTACTCTGCATGCTGCTGCCATCCAGGACATTTGTGGCTGAAAGATCCAGAGAATTAGGCCTCTGTGCTCTTCTGGGCTTTGATGGCCCAGGATCTGCTACTGTGCTTGGAACACTTTGTGTAAGAACATCTTGTTCTGAACATGGATTGCTGTTGTTGTTATTGGAATTAGTTCGGCCACCTTCTAGTGGCCGTTCCCTCCTGTCCACCAGACGATCCAGAACACCTTCATCACGGCCAGCCTGCTGCTCTCGTCTCAGTAAAGGTTCATGCTCATCAGGACTGGAATTAATATTCAGCCTGGTGTCCTCACTGATAAATTGATTCTGCAGCATTTCTTGGGCCCTATGTGCCCCTATGTTGGCTGTCTGGCCAGATGGTACTGTCCCATTGGCGTACTGGGTTGTGGCAGCATGGGAGTTAACATGGTTTCTACCTGCCACCCCATTCATGGTAACAGTCACCACATGAGGTTCTGCTGCATTGATTGTGTTCATTTTGGCAACCCCAGTTTCTACTTGTTTCAAGTTTGATTTGTGCTTGCTGCCAAATTTTAGCCGGGGCTCCTTTGTTGAATTTTTGGTGTTCAAAGGCAAACTAGTAGGTCTCTTAGGAAGGTTCTGTTGTTTGGGAAGAGGATAAATCTGAGTAGGTGGAACATCAGGAATTAAACATGCTTGGCCATTTGCAGCCTGTGTGAAGTCCTGCTGTCCAGTCACTTCTACTGCAAGCTTTATGAGTGGGTAAAGCAAGCTAGAACTGGTGCTGCTCAATGGGTCTGGCCCACTGAACTGTTTAAGAGAATGTTCCATGAGATTCTCATCAGAGCTTTCTTTGAGGTTCTTATCAACTTCTTTTGGGTCTAGCTTGTTGGTCGCCAAGTCTTCTTCTGTTAGCTGTAAGCACACAGGTGTTGGCCCAATCGACTGTGTAGCATTTGCAGCATGAAGACTGGTTTCATCTGGGTACGGCACCTCAGATATAGTAGTCATGCCAGTACTAGGAGTGAGACCAGTGGTGTTTGTGGCTGTTGTATTGGTGGACAGGCTGGTGACGCTCGTTTCAGGGCTGGGGATTCGAGCTTGTGCTTGTTGCCGTTCATAATTAATTGAGTTCCGGTTCTTTTCCCCTGTAGTCAAAGGTGTGCTGGACACGGAATGCTCAGAGGAAATGTTCTTCACAATGCTGTCAGTATGATGGATGGAGTCTTCAATGTATGAGGAAGAAGAGTAATCTGGATAAGGGCCAATTTTTGGCATACGCCTATTATGTGACAGGTTGCTTAAAAAAAGAAAAAGTATAACACTGAAAATGTGTATTATGACAAATTTTCTCCAAGTTTAGTACTTCTGATTTTAAAGTTCAAGCTGCTTTTCATTTAATTCCTAACTCATATTATTTTAGAGGTTACTTAAGATGAAAAACAATCAAGTGTCAATACCTTGATAAATGCTAGCTATACAAGACTTAAGCATACTGAAAAATCTACATGAATCTTGATGATTTTTTGTAGCTGTTCATTATTTTATTTTACAAGGATTAATTCAATAATTTCCTCTATAGTTTTATAACTCCACCAAATACATCTTTATGAACCATATACTCATATAACCAGATATTATATTTTGTGAGCAGAGGAACCATAGCACTTATTTCTTTTGTATTCCCTTAATTCTAGATACCTCATGTCTTTTCAGTGAGTATCTTGCCAATTCAGTATCAATGGCCAAATGGTAAAAAAGTTTGAATTTCAGATTCTTTCAAAGTCCTTCCATTAAGAGGAATGGACTAGCAATGTATCTTTCTGGGATAGTCTGAGCCATATCCATGGAAGTCCTAAAGCCTTGAGTATGACAGAATGTGACACTTAGATAAAACATTCGGAACTGTTCTCTAGTTATCAAGAGCTCTTCATAGTCATCACTACACCTTGGGAATGAAGGTTCTTGATCACAACATTATAATATGTTTATATTATTTAAAATCTGGCTGAAATAAACACCAGATAAATGAACTAAAACAATTACAATATAAACACTGGGAACATTAAAAGATACAAGTGCTACTGGAGAGAAGCAGCAACCAAAAAAAAGGTGGTATAAAGGAAGACTGATGAAGTTACAAGGGTAATGACAAGAAGAAGAGGAAGAAAAAGCTGTTATACAGCAAAAGAAAAGGAAGCTAAGGAGGTTTAGAGGGTAAGATTCGATAACAATAAAATACACAGTGAGAATGACTATGGGATGAACTAGGATTTTGGGGAAACTTACTGAGGAATGGAGAGGAGAAGCAACATGCAGACAGTGGAGCTGAATGACAAAGGAGGGAAAAAGAGCCAAAGCAAAGGACACAGCAAGGTAGTCTTCTTCACATTCAAGAAACGCTCAACAGCCTTTAGGTTACAAACTAGCTGATTCTTGAGAGGGATATAAATAGCATACTAGAGCACTTGGAAAACAGAGAGATGACGGGGAAAGAGAAGCTGAAGACTGTTGTCAAGTATTTGTAAGTGTGAAAATTTGTGTTTAGATTTGTTAGGTTCTACCTTCTTTGACTTGTTACGGTGTACTTTACATCTGACACTACCTCAACCATTAACTAGTAACAAACTTAATTTTTGGCCGAGAGCTCATAATACAATTGCTCTTACAAGTGAAAACAACAGAAATAGGAAAAAAAAGACTAAAAAAATTGATAGAGAGAAATGAGCGAGCTCCTATCCATTGGTTCATTAAGTAAATACCCACAGTAGCATGAGCTAGGTCAAGATGAGACTGGGAGCCTGGAACTCAATGCAGATCTCCCAAATCAGTGGTAGGGACCCAATTACTTGAGCCATCATTTGTTGCCTCCCAAGGTCTGCATGGCAGGAAACCAGAGCCAGGTATCAAATTCAGGCACTCCAATATGGAACTTGGGCATCCCAACTGGCATCTTAACTACCAGGCCCAATGCCTGCCCACATTTTGTTAAATTTCTAAAAGCAAAAAAACAGATTCCATCTTGTACTCATACCAAAAACCATTTTTAGGAGAATGAGAATGTGGAAAGAAAAATGGTAACTTTAGAGGTCAGTGCTGTGGCACAGCAGGCTAGGCCACCACCTACAAGGCTGGCATCGAATATTGGAGAGCTGGTTTGAGTCCTGGCTGCCCTACTTCCAATTCAGCTCCCTAATAATGTGCCTGGGAAGATAGTGGAAGATGGTTCAAGTATGTGGGCCGCTACCACCACATGGGAGACCAGGATGGAGTTCGTGGATCCTGGCTTCAGCCTGGCCCAGATTGGGCTCTTGCAGTATTTAGAGAAGAGCTCTTTCTCATTGTCTACCCACTTCTCTTCTTGTTGCTCTGCTTTTCAAAAAAACAAATCTTAAAAAACATTCTCACTTTCTTAAAAGGAAAAATTATAATGTTAGATCATATGAGTTAATCATTGCAATACTGGGTTGGTTTGGCAATATTTATTTCCCATCTTTTGTTTGTCTCAGTTCTCAATACTAACTGATGCTAACCCCAAAAGGGTCTTACCGCTCATTCTGCATAGCAGTAGACATTGGATTGACAGTTGGGCTCACAGATTTGTTCCTTTCCCATATCATCATAAGTTCAGCCATTCTCTCCTCAGCACACTGTGCAGTAAGCCGAGCCTCTGCATCCTGGTCCCAACAGTCTTCGATTGTCTCCTTGAGTGATCTCACTGCCTATAATACAAAATACATGTCAAACAATGTGTCTTAAAAAAATCTGTATTAAGCATTTAGTTTGCAACATGAAGTAAAAGAAAAATCTAATTTTAAACAGTATTTTACAAAGATATAATAAAATATTATCACTTTAGTGATTTGTAAAGGAGTTTCTAAGGGCTGGCACAGTGGTATAGAAGGTTAAGCCTCTGCCTGCAGTGCCAGCATCCCATAGGGTGCTGGTTCAAGTCCTGGCTGCTCCACTTCCAACCCAGCTCCCTGGTAATGTGCTTGGGAAAGCAGCGGAGGATGGCCCAAGTCCCTGCTCCCATGTTGGAGACCTGGATGAAGCTCCTGGCTCCTGGCTTTGGCCTGACCCAGCCCCAGCCATTGTGGCCATTTAGAGGGAACCAGTGGATGGAAGATCAATCTCTTGATATCTCTCTCTTTCTCTATCTATCTCTTTCAAATAAATAAATAAATCTCTCTTTTTTTTCCCCTAGAAGATGGTTCTCAGAAGGCAAACATTTTTAGGAATTCTCAAATGGTAAGGAGCAAGTAAACAAGCAAGCTTTAACTTATCTCCTTAGAGTAAGCAGCTGTAGTTTGTTTTCAAGGCCACGGTTTGTGTCATTGCTGTTTATTCACAGTCCTGTTATTTAAATCAATAGCCACTAATTCTACTCCAGAATTAAGTTTTAGGTTTTATGGTATTTTTCCATATGGCAATCTTATATACCCAGGAGAGCATTTTCTCTTCTATTTCTAGTCAAGGGTGCTTCATTTCAACCTTAAATGGGGCACAGTAGGTTAAGCCTCTGCCTGTGGCTCCCGGTATCCCATGTGGATGCCGGTTGGAGTCCCAGCTGCTCCACTTCCGATCCAGCTCCCTGCCTGGGAAAGTAGTGGAAGATGGCCCAAGTGCTTACGCGCCTGAACCCATGTGGGAGACCTGTAGAATATTCCCGGCTCCCAGCTACGGCTTGGCCCAGCCCTGCTATTGTGGCCACTTAGGGAGTGAACGGCAGATGGAAGATGTCTCTGTCTCTCCCTGTCTCTGTCTGTAACTCTGCCTCTCAAATAGATAAATATATCTTAAAAAACAACAACAACAACAACAACAAAACTTAGAGGCACCTGTATTTTACATCAGTTCCATTAATAATAGCAAAAATAGTCCCATTTTACAGTATCCATATATATCATCAATGAACAATAGTTTCCCTTTTAATGAGAGTTGGTTTTAAGTCATTTGGAAACTGTAGTGGCCCATGACCCAGAATCTCTTCTGACTGTTTTTGGATTTGCTTTTATTAAGCTTCAAGCTTCTTAGCTGCTCTGATATTTACACTTCCTGTGCCTTTAAATAGTTACTTTCTTTTAGGTCTTCAAACATTTATTTGGAAGATAGAGATATGCAGAGAGAGAAGGAGAGACAGACAGAGGTCTTCCATCTGCTGCTTCATTCCCCAAATGGCCACAAGGGCCAGGCCAAAGCCTGGAGCCAGAAGATTCATCCAGGTTTCCTAGGGGACGGTATGGGTCCAAGCACTTGGGCCATCTTCTGTTGCTCTCCCAGGCACATTAGCAGCATACTGGGCTTGAAGTGGAGCAGCAAGGACTCAAACCTGTGCCGTATGGGATGATGGCACTGGAGGCAGCCACCCAACCCTAGGCTGTGGTGGAATGAGAGGGCCATGCCAAGGTGGCCACTGGCAAGTGAGCATTAATTACTCAGGAATGGCTTTGGAAACTGCCTGGCAACAGGCTGTGATTGGATGGCTTTAGAAACTGCCTGGCAGGCTGTGATTGGATGGCTTTGGAAACTGCATGGCAGGCTGTGATTGGATGGCTTTGGAAACTGCCTGGCAACAGGCTGTGATTGGATGGCTTTGGAAACTGCCTGGCAGTCTATGATTGGATGGGGCATAGACCGCCCCTTGACCAGATTGGCTGGTCTTGGCTATATAAGACATAGTTTCAACTGAAATAAACGAGTCTGCCGGCTGCTTGCCTCAAGCCTGCTTTCATCCGACTCCCGGGGTCTGTGTGGTGACTCCGCGCCTCTTGCCCCCACCACGCTGTTCCTCTCAGAAAGGAATCCACTGCAACATTGTTGAGAAATCAACGGCAACACTAGGCACCACAAAATGCCAGTCCCTCAAAATGATGGTTTTATGCTAGGGCTGCCAGAGTCAGCAAAAAAATATAGGATACCCATTTAAGCTTGAATTTCGGGTCAACAACAAATTCCATTGGTTCACTCCCCAAATGGCCGCCACGGCTGACACTGTGCTGATCCGAAGCCAGGATCCAGGTGCTTCCTCCTGGTCTCCCATGCAGGTACAGTGTCCCAAGCACTTGGGCCATCCTCTACTGCACTCCCGGGCCACAGCAGAGAGCTGGACTGGAAGAGGAGCATCTGGGACTAGAACCCAGTGTCCATATGGGATGCTGGTGCCACAGGTGGAGGATTAGCCAAGTGAGCCACGTCACTGGGCCCTGAGTTTTTTCCCTGAGAACCCACTTTAGGCTAAAAATCATTTTCAGCAATCTTATGACATTTTCAATGTTTCTCAATAATTTGGATTCTGCAATAAACAACTCTGAACTTTGAACCTGCAAGACATTTAATGTTCTTTCTACACACATGGTCACTGCATATCTAGATCAGAGTCCACTTTGGAAAACAGTATTTTTGAAAACTTGTCATACCCTGGGGAACCTAAAAAACCATGCACATGTCCAGGACAGGATGCCTTCTCAGAAAAGGCCTGGCAAGACCATGCTTTCCTAACTGTGTGATCTTTAGGCTAGCGTTAGCAGGAAGTGAAGGCTAGGGCTGAACTGTGAAAGGTCTGAATAAGTGTTAAGAGGGTCCCAACAGAAATCATTCTGCAAAGACCTGTGTGGGGAGCAACTGAGACTAGACTAAGTTACTGGAATTAAGACTTATTCTATGCATCTGCTCTCCCACAATATGGCGCTGAAAGGGAGCAAACAACCTCTACGCAGCTGCCTCTCGCCAATTTGACTGATAAGCTGCAGGAGCTAATCCTGCTCCTGATTGGAGGAGAGCAGCGTGCTCAGCGTGTGGGTAGCAGAGTTGGGATTGGTGGAAGAGGACTATAAAGGAGGAGAGAGACAACATGCACCAGGAACATCTGAAGGAACACCTGAGGAACATCTGAGCAGCCCCCCGAGAGAGCCGGCTGGCGGTGTGCCGCTCCTCCGCGGAAGCGGGGAAAGCGGCGGGCTGGGGGGGGGGGTGCCGCCCCTCCACGGAGGTGGAGGGGCCGGCAGCTAACCCGAGGCGTCGTTCCTCCGCGAGTGAGGGAACGGCAGCTAACCCGGGAAGGGCCGAGCAGGTGAAAGAACAGCGCAGGGTCCAGTGTCGTTCCTCCATGAATGGGGGAGCGACAACCTGGAGAGTATTTCCATTTCTTTTCTATTTATATATATATATATTTTTTTTTTTGGGCCATCATGATGTTCAGAATGTTCAGTTTTAAACAAAAATTACAAAACATACAAAGAAATAATATGGCTTATTCACAGGAAAAAAGGAAATCAAAAGATACTATCTCTGAGGAAGTTTATTTATTAGAGTTATTTTTTTAAAGATTTATTTATTTATTTGAAAGTAAGAGTTACATAGAGAGAGGAGAGGCAGAGAGAGAGAGGTGTTCTATCCACTGGTTTACTCCCCAATTGGCCGCAACAGCCGGAGCTCTGCAGATCTGAAGCCAGGAGCCAGGAACCAGGAGCCTCTTCTGGGTCTCCCATGCGGGTGCAATGGCCCAAAGACTTGGGCCAGCTTCTACTACTTTCCCCAGCCATAGCAGAGAGCTGGATCGGAAGTGGAGCAGCCGGGACTCAAACTGGCGCCCATATGGGATGCCAGCACTTTAGGCCAGGGTGTTAACCCACTGCGCCACAGCAATGGCCCCTATATTGGAGTTATTAGGCAGACTTCAAGCTAACTGTATTAGATATGCTCAAAAAGGTGAGGAAACCAGACAATGAACTAAAGGACACCAGGAAAACAAAGTCTCAATAAGTGGAGAATAACAAGAAAGAGATAGAAAATATAAAAATGGGATGAGAATTTAAAAAGGAATGATTAAAAGAAGTTCTGCAGGGGCCAGAGTTGTGGTGCAGCATGTTTGGCTGTAGCTGCTGACGCTGCATGCCATATCAGAGTGCCAGGACTATTCCCCTTTGGATCCAGCTTCCTGCTAATGTGCCTGGGAAGGCAGTAGAAGATGGCCCAAGTGCTTGGGCTCCTACCTCCCATGTGGGAGACTCAGATGGAGTTCCTGGCTCCCGGCTTTGGCCTGCCAGAACTGGCTGTTGTGGGCATTTGGAGAATGACCCAGTGGATGAAATCTCCTCCACCCCCCCCATCCTCCTGTCCCTCTTCCTCTGTCACTTTGTTTTTCAAACAAATGAATACAAATAAATACCTTCATCTAAAAGAAAGAAAAAGAAGTTTTAGGGCTGGTGCTGTGGTGCAGCAGGTTAAGCTGCTGCCTGCGGCATCAGAATCCCATATGGGTGCCAGTTCGAGTCCCGGCTGCTCCACTTCTGATCCAGCTCCCTGCTGATGCACCTGGGAAGGCAGTGGAGGAAGGCCCAAGTCCTTGGGCCCCTGTACCCAGATGTGAGGCCCAAAAGAAACTCCTGGCTTTGGATCAGCCCAGCTCTGGCCATTGCAGACACTTGGGGAGTGAACTCAAGTGGATGGAAGATCTCTCTCTGTCTCTGTCTCTCTCTCTTGCTCTAACTCTGCCTTTCAAATAAATAAATCTTCAATAAAAATTGGAAAAGAATGAAAGCATGAAGAATCTTGGTGTAGTAGAACAAATTATGCCAGAACATTCTATGTATGAGGGACAAAAAGCTATTTTGAAATTAAACTTGACCTATAATTTTTTGGTTTATTAATTTAAAAAAATTTAATATAAAACAACCTTAAACTGTGTATATGTGAGAGATTGCCAATGCAGAACATTTTGTTGCAAATTCTGAAAAGTATGGGGAAAGGAAATCATTCCTGAGCCCAATATTCTGAGATAACTATAACATTTTCCTTACACAGTTTTCTGTACTCTTGTTTTTATCAGGAAACTAATCTTCCTTTATAAACTGATCTATGTTTGGATCAGTGACAATTTAAAAATCAAAACTAGTTTTTATACTCACTAATATCTTGGGTTTGGAAGATTCTAAATATGGTTACTAAAAAAAAGTCAGTTAAATGCAATACAATTATGAAAGCAAAAACACCTTCTTTCAGACACAGCTGCACATTTCTGTTTCTTTTTAAAAACTATGCCCTTGCTACCTAACTCTAGTGCTGAGCTGTCACTGAGAAAAGCAGTTTATTGACAGTAGTACATTAGGTTTAAATGGATTTCTTGGAAGTGAACCAAGTACTACAAATCCCTTACTTAGCAACCAAATCTAAATTGGAAATAAAGAACTTTTCAGACAAATATGCATATGATGCATAGCTCACATTGGCAAGATGGCCAAGAGATATTTCAAAAGAGCAGATTCTATTTGCTCTGGTGGAATAAAATAATCTAAGAGAGATTGATATAGCATTTTAGTAGGGTTAAGAGGCACTCCTCTGTGAGGTTGAGGCCTCTGATCAATCCTGGTAGAGCATTTTGCTTCTCTCCTGCTGTCAGGGACCTTTGTGGAGTCGGTGCTGTGACACAGCAGATTAAGCTGGCTGCAGTGCTGGCATCCCAAGTCTGTTTCTCCAGTTCTAATCCAGCTCCCTGCTAATGTGCAGAGGATGGCCCGTTGGGCCCTTGCACCCATGTGGGAGACCTAGAAGAAGCTCCTGGCTCCTGGCTTCAGCCTGGCCCAGCCCTGGCTGTTATGGACATTTAGGAAGTGAACCAGCAAATGGAAGACCTCTCTCTGTCTCTCCTTCTGTCTCCATAACTCTGCCTTTCCAATAAATAAAATAAATCTTTAAAAAGAAAAAAAGAAAAAGAGATCTGCCTCAGTTCCCATAGCAGAGACCACAGTCTGGAGGCAATCTTGGCCATATGTGCTTGACAGTAGGCTCTTCAATTGCCTTCTACTTAAAATGATTTCAGTCTTCAAAGGAAACAGAAGCCAATGTGGAAGGCAAATGAAGATAATATTCAATCAAAATCTGTATGAAAATAGGCTATGTCTCTGTAGCCTCTCTCTGGTATAACACTCAAGTCAGGATCCAGGATGAAAATACTCTAATCCTTCCAAGACAATCTAAAATTGAAATGTGAAAATATACAGTAAAATGATTTACATTGCTAAATTAATTTTTTCACTTCTTTCGCCTTTATTGTCAAGAAAATTAAGGATGTGGGGAAAAGGTGTCCTGATAAGACTGTTGGTAAGAATGTAAACAAGTATAACCAGCATGTAACACAGTATGTCACTTTCTTAGAAATCTAAAAACAGATCTACCATATGACTCAGTCATTCCACTCCTGGAAATTTATCCAAAGGAAATGAAATCAACATATGAGTTATCTGTACCCCCATGTTTACAGCAGCTCAACCCACAATAGCTAAGATATTGAATCAACCCAGATATCCATCAACTGATAACTGGATAAAGAAACTGTGGTGTGTATACACACTGGAATACTACTCAGCCATAAACATGAATGATATTTTGTCTTCACAACAAAATGGATGCAACTGCAGACCATTATACTTAGTGAAAAAAGCCTATCCCAAAAAGACAAATATCATGTTTTTCCTGATTTGTAGTACCTAATATACAGAGTATAAAAAATGTAACGTATATGAGTGAAACTGATTATTTTGAGATTTGATCATTGTTTATAGCCCTTGTCTATACTCCTGAGGAATAGTGGTTTCTCTACTTAATACATGTTGAATTCTTTATTTAGTGGATGGTTAGGCTTGTGATTAGAAAGTAAATTGAAAGTATGTGATTGTAAAAGTTAAAAGAAAAATAAAGAATGAGGAGGGAGGATGGGAATGAGGGAGGGAGGGTAGGGTGGGAAGGATCATTATGTTCTTAAAACTGCATATATAAAATTTGTTCTCTTTATATTAAAAAAGAGATAAAAAAGATATATACAAAATTAAAAATCTTGGGGCAGCATTGTGGCTCAGTGGGTAAAGCCAGCTCTTGCAACGCTGGCATCCCATATTACAGTGACGGTTAAGGTCACAGCTGTTTCCCATCCCCTCTGTCACTCTTTCAACTAAATACTAAATCTTTAAAAAATTACATGAATGTGTATGTGTGTTGATGTCTACAAGATATGTTCAATGCTCTAACAAAAATTCATTCAAATGGCAGGAGCCTTTAAAAATATTTCATTCTTTTGAACTACATTTTTTAAAAGATTTATTTATTTATTTTAAAGTCAGAGTTACACAGAGAGAGGAGAGGCAGAGAGAGAGAGAGAGAGGTCTTCTTCTGCGGTTCACTCCCCAATTGGCCGCAACGGCCAGAGCTGCGCCTATCTGAAGCCAGGAGCCAGAAGCTTCTTCTGGATCTTCCATGTGGGTGAAGGGGCCCAAAGACTTGGGACATCTTCTACTGTTTCCCCAGGCCACAGCAGAGATCTGGATCTGAAGTGGAGCAGCTGGGACTTGAACCGCTGCCCATATGGGATGCCAGTGCTGCAGGCGGCAGCTTTATCTATTATGCCACAGCTGCGGCCCCTGAACCACATTTTTAATAAGAATTCCTAGGTTATATGTTGGCTTCTTTTAGGTCCAGCCTAAATTTCTGCCATTGAATATGTAATTCCTCACTGATTAACAATATTATTAGTGATATCCTGAAAAGAACAAGATAGAATTTCAATAATGTGTAAAATATTAAAATGTTAATTATGTCAGCTGTTACCCAATCTGGCAAACTTCAGACATATTATTAGCCTCTAAATAGTATTTGACAGTTAGAAAAAACTGAAGCTGAATCAAAAAGTAGATGTCTTTTAAATTAAAAAAATCTGAAAATATTCAACATAAAAGTCTAGTAAGCTGGATTTCTGTTTGGCAACTCTAAAAACTATTGACATTTTATTAGCAACCTGTTTTTGTGTCAGACAACATTAAAACATATTCATTCCGGGCCAGCTGGTTTAAGTTCCGGCTGTTCTACTTCCAATCCAGTTCCCTATTAATGTACCTGGGAAATTAGTGGAGGTCGGCCCTAGTGCTTGGGTCCCTGCACCCATCTAGGAGACCTAGAGGAAGCTCATGGCTCCTGGTTTTGTCCTGGCCAAGCCCCAGCCACGGCCAGCGCTGCACCAATCCAAAGCCAGGAGCCAGGTGCTTCCTCCTGGTCTCCCATGCGGGTGCATGGTCCAAGCACTTGGGCCATCCTCCACTGCACTCCCAGGCCACAGCAGAGAGCTGGACTGGAAGAGGAGCAACCCGGACAGAATCCGGCACCGCAACCGGGACTAGAACCTGGGGTGCCGGCACTGCGGGTGGAGGATTAGCCAAGTGAGCTGTGGCGCCGGCCTGAAGTCCTCTTTTCAATAATTTAGTATTTTCTTACCAGGCTGTTTTCTTTCCAGGCTTCCGGGAACTTGGGTCTCTGTTTTTCCCTAGACACAAGAACCTGCATATCTTCAAAAGTGGGATGGTTTCCAACTTCTGTCTGAAAAGCCATCTGGTACTCTGGTACAGATTCACCTGTATATTTGTAGAAAAATAACAACAGAATACAATTTCCAATTATCACAGATAATAGAGTTAAAGGGGTTATTTCTGATATAAAGTAAGCAAAAAATTATATACATTAAACCCTTTCAGGCACATTTGGAAATCCTAAAGAGATCCTGGTGTGGGTTTAACACATTATTAGAAATGCTACATTTAGAATAATCTCAAATATTTGTTGATAAATCCAAAGGTAGTTTCAACGATGGATAGGCATTTTAAAAAGGTTTCTAGCTTAGGGGAAAATAAGATTATTATATTTATAATGTATGTTTCATATTTAAAAATATATCAACTCTGATGCCATACAGGAACAGAGAGTGGTGCAGATGAGGAGCAAATCTAAGATTTACTATAACAGACACATCCATAGAATCAAATACAAGTGGGTGGGGTGAATAGTCACCATGTCTCATTATGTCCTTGGCTCTATTATAGTCCAGCCAGATTGTACCAAATGTCACAAATATTCATAATTCCACTTGACAAAAATCAAGATGTTGATTTTTTAAAAATTCCTTGTAACCCTTTTCGCTGTCAATAAACATAATCAACTGCTTGTAATGAAAGCCTTCTGATAGTCACAAATTGTGATTAAATTAACCATGTCAGTAAACAGACTGAGCAACACAGAAGACTCCTGGGACCAACTTTTTTTTTTTTTTTTTAACATTTATTTATTTATTTGAAAGTCAGAGTTACACAAAGAGAGAGGGAGAGGCAGAGAGAGAAAGCCAGAGATCCAAAGAGAGAGAGAGAGAGAGAGAGAGAGAGAGAGAGAGAGGTCTTCTGTCCACTGGTTCACTCCCCAAATGGCTGCAATGGCCGAAGCTAGACTGATCTGAAGCCAGGAGCCTGGAGCTTCTTCCAGGTCTTCCACATGGGTGCAGGGGCCAAGGACTTGGACCATCTTCCATTGCTTTTATAGGCCCTAGCAGAGAGCTGATCAGAAGTAGAGCAGCTGGGACTCGAACCAGCACCCATATGCCTCAGTGCCAGTCCGACCATTGGTTTTTAAATGTTGGTTCCGGGGCCGATGCTGTGGCATAGTGGGTAAAGCCGCCACCTGTACTGCCAGCATCCCATATGGGCGCTGGTTCGAGTCCCAGCTGCTCCACTTCTGATCCAGTTCTCTGCTATGGCCTAGGAAAGCAATGGAAGATGTTTCAAGTCCTTGGCCCCTGCACCCGAGTGGAAGACCTGGAAGAAGCTCCAGGCTCCTGGCTTCAGATCAGTCTAGCTTTGGCCACTGCAGCCATTTGGGGAGTGAACCAGTGGACAGAAGACCTCTCTTGTTCTCTCTCCCTCTGCCCCTCTGAAACTCTATCTTTCAAATAAATAAATCTTTGATAAAAAAAAAAAATCAAAAAAAACAATGGTTGGGGCCTGCGCTGTACCACCATTGGCAGTGCCAGCATCCCATATGGGTGCCAGTTTGAGTCCCAGCTGTTCTACTTCTGATCCAGCTCCTTGCTAATGTGCCTGGGAAAGCAGGAGAATATGACCCAAATTGGGCCCCTGCACCCTTGTGGGAAATCTGGGTGAAGCTCCTGGCTTCTGGCTTTGGCCTGACCAAGCCCTGGCTGTTCCAGCCACTTGGGGAGTGAACCAGCAGATGAAAAATCTCTCTCTGTCTTTCCTCCTCACTCCATAACTCTGCCTTTCAAATAAAATAAAAAATCTTTATAAAAATTTTTTAAAAAATTATCAAAATTCTACCAAATCTTCATGGTTCTATATATAATTGTTCAATAGACACTTTGTTTAAATCTAATGGTATCAGGCACTTATGGACACAATGATGAGTGCCAATAACAAACATCATGGGAAATATCATACTTACTGGACTTAAAACTTTACAGATGGGGCCCAGCACTGTGGCGTAGTGGCTAAAGCCACCATTTGCAGTGGGGCATCCTATATGGGCACTGGTCTGTGTCTGGCTGCTGCACTTCTGACCCAGCTCCCTGCTAATGGGCCTGGGAAAGCAGCAGAAGATGGCCCAAGTCCTTGCATCCCTGAACCCATGTGGGAGACCTGGAAGAAGCTCCTGGCTCCTGGCTTTGGATCAGCCTAGCCCTGGCCGTTGTGGCCATTTGGGAAATGAACTAGTAGATGGAAAACTGATAGATTTCTCCCCTCCCCCCATAACTCTGACTTTCAAATAATTTTTTAAAAAGGGTCTTTAAAAATGCTTTGTAAGAATAAGAATTTTATGATTATTATATGCTATTCTCTCTCTCTCTTTTTTTTTTTTTTTTTTTTTGACAGGCAGAGTGGACAGTGAGAGAGAGAGAGAGACAGAGAGAAAGGTCTTCCTTTGCCGTTGGTTCACCCTCCAATGGCCGCCGCGGCTGGCGTGCTACGGCCAGCACACCGCGCTGATCCGATGGCAGGAGCCAGGTACCCATCCTGGTCTCCCATGGGGTGCAGGGCCCAAGTACTTGGGCCATCCTCCACTGCACTCCCTGGCCACAGCAGAGGGCTGGCCTGGAAGAGGGGCAACCGGGACAGAATCCGGCGCCCCGACCGGGACTAGAACCCGGTGTGCCGGTGCCGCAAGGCGGAGGATTGGCCTAGTGAGCCGCGGCGCCGGCCTATACGCTATTCTCTAAGTTTGGTAATACTGCTATGTGATTCTTTTATTCTTTTCTTTTCTTTTCTTTTTTTTTTTTTTTTGACAGGCAGAGTGGACAGTGAGAGAGAGAGACAGAGAGAAAGGTCTTCCTTTGCCGTTGGTTCACCCTCCAATGGCCGCCGCGGCCGGCGCGCTGCGGCCGGCGCACCGCGCTGATCCGACGGCAGGAGCCAGGAGCCAGGTGCTTTTCCTGGTCTCCCATGGGGTGCAGGGCCCAAGCACCTGGGCCATCCTCCACTGCACTCCCTGGCCACAGCAGAGGGCTGGCCTGGAAGAGGGGCAACCGGGACAGAATCCGGCGCCCCGACCGGGACTAGAACCCGGTGTGCCGGCGCCGCTAGGCGGAGGATTAGCCTAGTGAGCCGCGGCGCCAGCCTTCTTTTATTCTTTTCAACTTTTACCCCATATCGTTAAAATTTGAGAGCCCTTTACCCACCTGTATTTCTCCATACTTTTCCCTCCTGTAACCTCTGTAATATGATTTCTGTCTTTCCTATTCATAAAAAACCCTCTAAGAATATAAGGTACCTGCTTTTCAAATTTGAAGATCATTCTTCAATTGTATTTCCTGCTGACCTTTCAATTATATCTACTACCCTCAATTTGGCTCTAAAAGCTTTCTAACACTTACTTCTTAGACAACATGAATTTTCATTATTCTCACTATTTTTCTGATAGCTTGTCTTCTTAACTAACCTAGCTGGCAGATATTCAGTCTTTAATAATTAGTTTTTCTTTCTCTTTATTTGTTGTTAGGGGAGTACATGTACTCATAAGTTTTTGTTTACCATCTTTATACAGACAATTCATGAATAACCATTCTTAATTTTCTCTATATCTTCTTTGTTCTTTTAAATTATCCACAAGTAAATTCTTCAGTTATCAATAAGTCTCCAGAATTAACACATTTTTCTAACAAGCCCATATTTCCTTCCAAGTTCCTGGCTGCTACCCTGTTTCTCAACCTCTAAAAATTTCTCAGCTCCTTTAACTTTTATTCTTCTGGCAGTTAACTGGAACTATAGATTTCTTGTCTGCATTTTCTCTCAAATGTACATCTCCTTCCCCATTTCCATATCCAAAATTATAGAGTATTTTATTTTAAATGATTTATTGAGGCCAGTGCCTCAGCTCACTAGGCTAATCCTCCACCTCTGGCGCCGGCACCCCAGGTTCTAGTCCCGGTTGCTCCTCTTCCAGTCCAGCTCTCTGCTGTGGCCCAGGAAAGCAGTGGAGGATGGCCCAAGTGCTTGGGCCTTGCACCCGCATGGGAGACCAGGAGGAAGCACCTGGCTCCTGGCTTCGGATCGGTGCAGCGCGCCAGCCATAGTGGCCATTTGGGGGGTGAACCAACGGAGGGAAGACCTTTCTCTCTGTCTCTCTCTGTCTAACTCTGCCTGTCAAAAAAAAAAAAAAAAAAGATGTATTGATTTATTTGAAAGGCAGAGTTACAGAGCGAGGGGAAGAGACATCGAGAGAGATATTCCATCTACTGGTTGCTTCCCAAATGGCTGCAATGGCTGGGGCCGGACCAGCCAAAGCCGAGCCAAGAGCTTCATCTGGGTCTCCCACATGGTTGCAGGGGCCCAAGGACTTGAGCCATCTTCCACTTTTTCAGGCACACCAGCAGGGAGCAGAATCAGAAGTAGAGACACTAGGACATGAACTGGGGCCATATGGGAAGTCAGCATTCTGGTGCAGCACCAGTTCCAAGAATATATAGTATCATAACGCAACTCTCTTCTTATTTATTTGTTCTTATTTTTTATTGTGGTAAAATATGTATAACAATTATCTTAATAATTTTTCAGTGTACAGTTCTGAGGCATTGAGTATATTTACACTGCTCTGCAACTGTTATTACCATTCATCTCTAGCACTTTTTTCAAAATTCCAAAGCAAAATTCTGCACCATCAAACAAAAGCAGTCCATTTTTTTTTCCCATTTTAAGCGCCTTTTTAATTTTTAAAATTTATTTATTTGAAAGGCAGAAGCCGGCGCCGCGGCTCACTAGGCTAATCCTCCGCCTAGCGGCGCCGGCACACCGGGTTCTAGTCCCGGTCGGGGCGCCGGATTCTGTCCCGGTTGCCCCTCTTCCAGGCCAGCTCTCTGCTGTGGCCAGGGAGTGCAGTGGAGGATGGCCCAGGTGCTTGGGCCCTGCACCCACATGGGAGACCAGGAGAGGCACCTGGCTCCTGCCTTCGGATAGGCGTGGTGCGCCCGCAGCGCGCCGGCCGCGGTGGCCATTGGAGGGTGAACCAACGGCAAAGGAAGACCTTTCTCTCTGTCTCTCTCTCTCTCACTGTCCACTCTGCCTGTCAAAAAAAAAAAAAA